CCTAAGCTAACAAGGTGTAGAGCTAAATGAACACAGCAGGCCAAGCAGCATCAGAGGAGCAGGAAGGCTGACGTTTCGGGCCTAGACCCTGTAAAACCTGTTGGGTTTGTCTGCAAACTTTGGGGGATAGGTGGAGTGAGGTTGATGCAATTTTAGACACTCTATGCCAGACTGATGGACTCAGCATTAAAAAGGGGTATCACTGAAAGCCATGCCACTGCTCTTCCTTCTCCTCCTGACTGCCTGCTTTATGACTCCCACCCCTTATTCCCAACACACCCTCACTTGCCCTTGTTCTGAAGTCCTACGATGATCTTGAGACTCTGGCTGCCACCACACCCACTGGCTCTGGCAGGATGGTGAGCTGCCAACCTCTGATTAACTAGCAATTCTCATCAAACACTTGTGCCACCAGAACTCTCCATCATGGGAAAAGGCTTGACAGTGGCTATGTAAATGCATTCAGCCCACAGCCCACCAGAACCCTAGCCATGGGCATCGATTCAACAAATTTCTTTAACTGAGAGCTGGACCTAGTTCTGATTGAGGCAGAGCTTGTCTCATACTGCGAGGAATTCAGAAGAAGAGTGGTTAGTTTTGATCACCATGGGTAACAATTGCATTTTTTCTAATATAATGTGAGCATCATTTGCCAGCTGTACGGTGTTGTCCATCATTAATTGCCATTGAGAAGGTGATCATGAACTGCTTCATTTCATCTGGTTTAGGTGCAACTACAGTATTCATGGGAAGCAAGTTCTAAGGCAACTCAGCCCCTGACCTCCAACAACCACAATCATTTTCATATCTGCCAGGTATGACTCCAGACAGTGGAAAGTTTGCACACAATACCCACCAATTACAATTTTGCAAGGATTTCTTGACGCCACACCCTGTCAAACGTAGCCTTGATTTCAAAGGCTGTCACTCTCACCTCACCTTTGGAATTCAGCTGTTTTGTCCATGTTGAACCAACGCTGTAATGAGGTCAGAAGCTGAGAGGCCCTGGCTGAACCCAAACTGGGCGTCACTGAACAGGGTATTGCTGCGCAGGAACTGCTTGATAGCATTTTTGATCACCTTATTGATGATCGAGAGTAGACCGATGGGGAGGTAATTGACTAGGGTGATTTTTTATCCTTTTGTCCATAGGATATGCCCCGGCACTTGTTCACATTGTTGGGTAGATGTCAGTGACTGGAGTAGCATGGCTAGGGGAGCAGCAAGTCTTCAGTACTATTGCTGCAATGTTGTCAGGCCCCATCCCTTTGCCGTATCCAGTGCCTCCAACCATTTTTTGACACCACATGGAGTGAACCGAATTGGGTAAAGATTGGTATCTGTAAAGCTGGGAATCACTGGAGGAGGCTGAGATGGATCATTCACTTGGCACTTCTGGTTGAAGATTGCTGTTAATACTTCAAACTTATCATTTGCATTGATACATTGGGCTGCTCCAACATTGAGGATGGGGAAAATTGTGTAGCCTCCTCTTCCAGGGAGTTGTTTAATTGTTCACCACCATTCATAACCGGATGTGGCAGGACTGCAGAGCTTAGATCTGATATGTTGCTTATGGGATCACTTTGCTTTATCATTTGCTCCTTCTAATATTTGGCATGCAAGTAGTCCTATTTGGCAGCTTCACCAGGTTAATACTTTATTTTTAGTTATGCCTGGTGCTGCCCCTGGCATGCCCTCCTGCACTCTACATTGAATCAGTGTTGATCCCTTGGATTGATGGTAATGGTTGAGAGTTGGGGGATATGCTGGGCCATGAGGTCGCAGATTGTGCTGAAGTACAATTCTGCTGCTGTTGATGGTGCACAGTGCCTCATGGATACCCAGTCCTGAGTGAGTAATTCACCACCTGTCTACCATCTACAACACACAAGTCTGGAGTGTGATGGAATACTCTCCACTTGCCTGGATTGGTGCCGCTCCAACAATACTCAAGAAGCTTGATACCGTTCAGGGCATAGCAGCCCATTTGATTGGCATCACATCCACAAGCATCCACTCCCTCCACCACCAACACCTGGTAGCAGCAATGTATAATATCTACAAGATATGCTCCAGAAATTCGCCAAAGATCCTTAGAGAGAAACTTCTAAACCCATGACCACTGCCATCTAGAAGAACAAGGGTGGCAGATATGTGTGAACATCACCACTTGCAGGTTCACCTCCAAGCCACTCACCATCCTGACTTGGAAATGTACCACTGTTCCTTCACTGTCACTGGGTCAAAATCATGGAATTCCCTCCCTAAGGGCATTGTGGGTCAACCTACAGCAAATGGACTTCAGCAGTTCAAGGCAGCAGCTCAAAACCACCTTCTCAAGCATAACTATGGATGGGCAATAAATGCTGGCCAACTAATGATGCCCACATCCCATGAGTGAACAAAAAATAGTAGCAGTGATGGAATGGTGATATAATTTCAAGTCGAGATATTGTATGGCTGAGAGGGGAACTTGCAAGTGGTGGTGCTCCAATCTGGGTGGGAGAGGTCACACATTTGGCAAGTACCTTTGAAGCAATCTATGCAAATTGTGTTGCTGCAATGCATCTTGTAGATGGCATGCACACTCACCACTGTGTGCCAAGGGTAAAGGAAGTAAACGTCTACGATGTTGGCTTGGATATCAATTAAGTGGACTCTTTTGTCTGGATGGCATTGAGCTTTTTGAATGTTAGTGGAGCTAACCCCATTCAGGGAAGTGGACAGAGTTCCAGCATGCTCTTGATTTATGACTTGTTGATGGGAATAAGCTTTGGGAATCAGGTGGTGTGATACTCATCACAGAATTTCCACCCTAATTTCTCAGATTTTTCCTTCAGATTTGCCTGGGCTCTTAAAGGAAAACATTGTTTTCATGGATTGGAGAGTGGTACCTATTGTGATATGTCACAATTGTATGGATAAGGTTGCGTAGATTAGAGGGTCTCTTGCTGTTTGCATGCTTTTTCTCAGCTGATAGAGCCTTCACAGTCCACAGTCCCATTCCTTTGTTGCGATTTTTTTTCCTGCTTTCAATGAATTTTCCATGGATTATTACATTAAAAGACAGCCAACAACGATCATTAGAAAGAGATATTGATACAGCTCATTACTGATTTGTTAAATCCAACTGTCCTTGTTCTTATTAAAGAAAATGCAAATGTACTTTGAAAAAAGCAGATGGATGCAAACATTTTAATTCTGCAAATTAATGTTATTTCTACGGGTCTCTACACCTCCTTCAAGAGTCATTCGGGAAAAATAATATCATGCCAAATCTAGCCAAAATGGATCACCTAAAATTGCTTACCCAGTTTCAACACATCTGGAACTTATCCATTTTATTTCCATAAAAGAAGAAAAAGGTTTATGCTTTCAAAAGTACATTTATATATTGTCTCCACCGGGATATGGTGAATGAAAAGACCGAATATGTACGTGCAGGTGTGAGTAATAACACATCAGGAAGTCACATGTTATTTGCAGAAAATTGGCCTTTCTTTATCATCAATATCTGGCAGCCAGTTTGTTGCCTGTGAGTGTTTATAAAAAGTGCACAAAAATTTACAATGCAATCAGGAACACACAAGAGTTGTAAATTATGCCATTTTCGAAAGACAAGACTTTAAGAATGTTTAAAGCGCCTCAGGGAAACTTACAAATTTGGGTTCGCAACCTTGATCTGAGATTAGAATTTCTCTCTCTTGTACAGCCAGTGATTTTGAGCATTTTAATAGATGTAAATCTGGAAATGACATTATTGATACAGCATTTATAAGGAGCCATTTTAGTTACAGACAATAGGGTAAAATATGCAATGATGGGTGTCCATCATTGGCTTGAATTTTATTGACTTCAAAAAATGGATAATCAGATGTGATGACATACAATTACCAGCTAATTTTATGTTATTCAAGTGACTATCACTGCAGTTTTTATTTTATTAAATGCAAATTTTTTTATGTGGTAATACCTTCATGCAAAAGTTAAACAAGTATAGTTTTCAAGCAGAAAAGTGAGCAGTGAATTTTTATGAATGCACAAGTACGCGTGAATATAATTCAATGTGATTCATATACATCATAACGAGCGATGGAAAGATTTTCAAAAGTTTTTATGCATATTATTCTTTCCAAAGTGTCCCAAAATGTAGCCTTTTATATTTAAAACTTGAATAAAAAAGCAGAATACAGGAATATTAATCATCTGTAATTTATTCATCCATAAATTTCAATAAATGCTGTTCTTCGGATTCTAACTGCTAATAGTTCAAAAGTGCTAAAAGTGATAAAATAGTTCAAGGTTCAAAACTGTGCAAATTAATATTTCTTCAAAGGTGCAATGAAGGGCAAACTATTCATTTGTTTATGCATTACAGTAGTCCTAAATTAGTGAAGTAATTTGCAGCTTTTAATATATTCAATACATTATTTTCAGTAAATTGAAGAATAGATATATGATAAAAAATTAATGTCTCCTATTATTGCGACTTTTTGAAAAATATGAAAAGACTCCAGGCATTATGCAGAACACTATCAGATCTCAGATGGTTAATGGTATATGCAATACTGCAAAGAAGCTCAATCATGCCATAAGGAATGATGCAGTAAATGTTTCTGAAGCGCTGAATCTAAAGCTATAAATATTCTGAAGTATTCATTAACGTTCAGTCTAGCAAGTCTGTTCACCACTTTCCTCTCCCCACGCTCACCCCTTTGGAAATTATGGAGAATTCAATTCCATATAGGCTGTTTCTAGCACAGTGCTGTAATCTATTAATTATTATTACATACTGCATTTTACATAAGCACTGTGAGCTTGAACACATTGTAAATTAAAAGGAAGCAGGCAGCATATTCTGATAATATACATAGAAGCATAGTCCTTCATTCTATCTGTTTTTTCAGAATAATTGCAGGTTTAGCTAATACATGCTTAGATTCTGTGTAACAAATCACAATGTATTAAAATCCAAAAAAAGGCAAGTTAACACTTACCAATATACATGATGGCCTTCATTAAATCATACTTTTCAAATCCCACAGATTGTTTTTTAATCTTCCACTATCTCAAATGCAACCTGCCACATGAGACACCAGAGTTTAAATCTGCATCATCCTTTTGACACTTCAGACTCAGCATACTGCTTACATCCCATGCAGAATCCTTGTGTGATTAGTGTCTACTCTGTTAGCATAGAGCACTGCTCATACAGTACTTTGTGAAATCTGACTCCTCCTCATGATGTTCTTGCTGTGCCTGTGACATCAGTGCAGAGAGCGCCTCACAGGTTCCTTCTCACAGATTAGCCTGTCCTGTGAAGCTTGAAGTTTCCGTCCTGATCAGATTAGAAATAAATGCAGTTATTTTCTTCCACACCAGGTTCTTTTTGCATAAAATGGAAAAAAAGGTACCTTCCTCTTCATTTTCTGTTCACCTAATACAACGAGTTTTTGGTCTCAAATGTTAAAAAAATTACACAGTGATCAATGAAACTCCTTTGAGTTTAAGCAGATGAACTGAGCTCTGTTTAGAAATCACTAACAGCACACACAGTTCAGGACTGCAGCTTTTTGTCCATTTTTGATCAGACTACTGCGCCACCAAAGCACATTCATGCATGAATGTTTTCTTAGGCAGCAGCAGGAGGTGGGTTTTGCCCCTTCAATTTCAGGCAGATGGCTCCAGGACTCAGCTTGGTCATCTGGAAGAAAAGCCGAGCGGAGAGCCAGATGTAAAGGGTCTCTTATGGAGCCTGGAATTCAACAAATGAGCCAAATTCTGCTGCTCTTATGCACCTTCTAGTGGCCAGTTAAAGAGTGACTGCAGTCTGAAGAGATACTGCCTGCCTATCTGTCATCTTGACTGAGTGGATAATTATTTTTCCAAGTTTAAACTGGACAGTAATATCATGGAAGTGACTCACTTGTAACTTTCACCATTGTAGAGCAGACAGCGGGATCCTGTGTTTTCTTTTCAATGCTCCGTTGAGAAAAAGAAAACCAGTTGGTACAAGTAAAACATTTATTTAGTTCATGGATGCAGGAATGGACCTCTATCAATTCATAACTGTGTGGAATCATCAACCTCAATTTGTACCGTAGGGGACAGGCCCATTTTGTAAATATTATGAACTGAGTATTAAATGCCCTGTCTTCATTCAGTTTTGACTAAGTCATTAAATGATAGCCTTAAGTGGAGTATCTGGCCAAAAGTAAAGACATGGAGAAAAAAAAAATTCTTACCGAGCATTTTGGAGAGAATAATCTTAGACATGATAATATGATTAAACTTCCATGGTTGAGAATTCAGTATTTGTTTAGCAGTAAGTTAATTATTTCAGGGTACCTTACATTTATATGTAGTCCTTCTTTGGATGTTTTCAATGTATTCAATAATACAGTAGTAAATTCTCAGCAGCACATATTTTCCCCTGCCAGGAAATATTTTGGCAGCGTAAAGCCAAAATGATTATACCAGAGATAAATAATTAATAAATGTAAGCAATTACTGTCAGACAATTAAAGCTTACACCTTTTTCACTGCAACACAAATTAAAAGGATACCCTATGTTTTGTTTCTTAAAAATTTATTAATGCGATGTGTCACAGGCTGAGCCAGCATTTATCAGCCATCCCTGGTTGTCCTTGAGAAGGTGGTGGTAAGCCACCTTCCTGAGCCACTCCAATCCATTTGGTGCAGATATATCCACAAAATCCTGTTAAGGATTTTGGCCTAGCAACAGTAACTGAATGGCAATAAATTTCCAGGTCAAGATAGTGAGTGGATAGGAGGAGAATGTGCAGGCTGTGCTGTTTTCATGTATTTATTGCCCTTGAACTTCTGGGTGGAAGTGGTTGTGGGTTGGAAGGTGCTATCTAAGGAGCCTTGGTGGAATTCCGCAGTGCATTCTGTAGATGGTATACACTGTCACTAGTGAGCGTCATTAGTTGTGGATGCATTTGTTGATATGATGCCAATAAAGCAGGCTGTTTTATACTGGATGTTTTCAAGTGTTTTGAGTGTAAAGCAAAGAAATTTATTCTCTCAAATGGTTGTGAATGTTTGGAATGCTCTAAAATTGTGGAAGATGGATCATTGGACATTTTTAAAAGAGGACTTAGAGAGATTTTGAAATGTCAAGTAGTTGAGGGCTCGGAGGAACTGGCATGAAAAAAGGAGTTGAGGTCAGGGGTAGATCAGCCATGGCCCTGTAAAATGGTATACGGCATAAAGAGCTGAATGGCCTACTCCTGCTTCTATTTCTTGTGTTACGTTGAGCTGTGTTCATCCAGACTCAACATTAGGAAGTAATCCATCACATTCCCAACTCGTACCTTGTTAATGGTGTTTCAGAGATAGTAGGAACTGCAGATGCTGTAGAATCTGAGATAACAAGGTGTAGAGCTGGACGCTGTGTTCATCCAGCTCTACACCTTGTTATCCCTTGTTAATGGTGGACAGGTTTTGTGGAGTCAGAAGGTGAATTACTTCTTGCAAGATATCTAGCTTCTGACCTGTTCTTGAAGACACCTTATTTATATGACTAATCCAGTTCAGTTTCTGGTCAAAGGTAACTGCAAGGATGTTGATAGTGGGGAGATTCACCGATGGTGATGTCATTGAATGTCAAAGGGCAGTGCTCAGATACTCTCTTGTTAGAAATGGTCATTGCCTGGCACTTGTATGGCATAAATTTTATTTGCCGTATGTCAGCCCTAACCTGGATATTTTCCAGGTACTCTTGCATTTGGGATGAACCGTTTAATTTCTTCAGAGGCCTGAATGATGCGCAATCAGTGAACACCCCTACTTCTGACCTTATGATGGAGGGAAGTTCATTGATGAAGCAGCTGAAAATGGTTGGGCCAAGGACTGTACCCTGAGAAATTCCTACAGAGATGTCCTTTGGCTGAGGTGACTGACCTGGGTGGTAGTGTGATACAGTGGTTAGCACTGCTCCCTCACAGAACCTGGAACCCAGGTTCAATTCCAGCCTCAGGTGACTGTGTGGCGTTTGCATATTCTCCCTGTGTCCACATCGGTTTCCACCAGGTGATGCCGTTTCCTCCCACAGTCCAAAAATATGCAAGTTATGTGGATTGGCCATGCTAAGTTGCTGGTAGTGTACAGCAATGTGCAGGCTAGCTGAGTTAGCCATGGTAAATATGGGGTGATGGGGGGTGGGATGTTCTGCAGAGGATCAGTGAAAACGTGATGGGCCAAATGGCCTCTTTCTACACTGTAGAGATTCTATGAGTTCCAATAACCACAACCATCTTCCTTTGTGCTGAGTATGACTCCAACCAGTGGAGAGTTTTCCCTGATATCCATTTATTCCGGTTTTGCGTAGGCTCCTTGATGCCACACTCAGTTGAATGCAGCCTTGATGTCAAGGACAGTCACTATACATCATATCTGGAATTAGCTCTTTTATCCATGTGCGAATCAAAGCTACAATGAGGTCAGTAGCTGAGTGGCCCTGGCAGAACCCAAACTTGGTGTCACTGAACAGATTATTGCTGAGCAGTTATTGCTTGATTGCATTGTTGAGAACATCTTCAATCATTTTACTGATGATCGAGTGTAGACTGGTGGGGTGGTAATTAGCCAGATTGGATCAGTCCTGCTTTTTATGTATAGGATAGTTTCCTATATGGGCAATTTTCCACATTGGCATCGAACCAGTGTTGTAACTGTTTTGGAACAAGTCGGCTAGAGGTGCAACAAGTTCTGGAACACACTTATTCAGTCCTACTGAGGGAATGTTGTCAGGACCCGCAGTCTTCAGCATCTCTAGCAATTTCTTGATGATATGTGGAATAAGTCAAATTGACTCAAGATTGGCATGTGACACTGGGAACCTCTGGAGGGGGCTGAGATGGATGATCCACTTGGCATTTCTGATCGAAGACTGTTGCAAATGCTTCAGCCAAAAGTGTCAAGTAATTGATCCATCTCAGTCCCCTCTGGAGATCTCCAGCAGAAATGCCAATCTTCAGTAAATTCAATTCACAATGGCAATTAAAAAAATCTAATTCCTTAAAGTAATGCGTCAGGTTACCAAAAAGTGATCTCTTAAAAAAGATTTAGGTGTAATTTTTCCCTTTTCTGTTTTAATAGATTTGTTCAAAATATCGGAATGATACCTTTGCTGAAATAGTAAATAGAGATGAAGAGAAATGCCTGTTATAATTCAGTGTAAGTTTAAGGCCCAAGTCTCTAACTGCAGAAGAAAATGTAAACCAACCGGTATTTGACAGAATTTTCAGAATGAGTAAAAATAAACTTTTCAAATTTGTATTTCGAGTAAGATGACTTTATATTTTTACACTATGTGATCAATCAGCATTGTGATTGATTTTACTGTAATCAAGCAGCAGTTTTATTATAGGTGACAAAGGTTCACCAGAACAGATAAAGGGTCTCAAGAAACACAGAGAATGCTCTCCAGCAAGTCAGCAAGCAGCTTGGGACATGGTCATGAGGTCTAAACCCCTGTTCTATTCGGGTGGAGGGCAGTGAGGGGTAGTCTACAGGGTGCAAAATTTCTGTGTCAGGGCAAAGTACAAACATTTGGTCTTCTTCCTGAAAGCTGTTTAGTCACATCTACTGGTTGTGGGCACTGTGTAAGAACAGGATGTTCTGCTTCCTCAGCTACCACAGTTGGGCCGTTTGCTCACATAGTGGATCATCACACATAAAGAAGTTTATTCTGGTGGTTTCCTGGAACACTGTTCTTGGCACACAGTCAAAGCATGATTCCAGACTTTAAAGGAATGATGATGCTGGTAGCAGGGCGGTAGCAATATTATAAAAATGCTGTGAGCACAAAAACTGCATGTTTTACAGATTTGATTGGATGAGAGAAAAAAATTACACAACTATGTTAGCTGGTTTACAGGGTAACTGACATTGTAATTTCTATGCTAATAGTCAACATAGAAGTCTGATTGATGTCAGCTATGGTGAGATGTATGGCAGAATTCGGCAACAAGTCCGGCAAGGCCCATCTTGAAGGAGAATCATCTCATTCCATTTTTTATGCTTTCCATAAGCAGTGTGGTGAGATTCTCACCAGGCAGCAGTCGTAATTGATTGTTAAATGCCTTGTTAACAGCCTAACACACGTCATTGACATACAGACTCCCACCTTACCAACCTTGCCAAATGAGACCAACATTGTGAAAACTCAGCAAGGAAACCAGAGTCAACACAAGGCTGATTCAACTCGTCACTTGCTCCGAACAACTCCACGTTTGACACCAGTCACGAACATCTCAGGGCATGCTTCAAAGGCACCAGACAGACATTTACGTCCCGCATCCAGAGACATTGATACTTGATATGTGCCTGCCTCTGAGAAACCCTGATGACATATCTCTGATCTAGTTACAAGACGCTTTTGCACTTTGGGCTGTACTGACAAGTGTCATTATTATGCTGCAGCAAGGACACACTGTACTCGGGGACTGCCATCAGCATGTGGACTAGAATAGGCGGCATTTCCAAGCTCTTCACTTGCTGGTATCATGTTTGCTCACACAGAGTCTACCTGGATTCCTGCCATGTATTGATTTGCCTTCTTTTTCTGATCTCTATCCCCTCAGCCAGAGATACCAGGCTCAAATTTCTTCTTTCTATGCCATGTAGCGCAACGCAA